CCCCATCGTCATTCCTAATGAAGAAAGGCTAATGTCAATGAAATCCTATCGCCATTCCTAATGAAGAAAGGCTAATGTTCCATGAAATCTTTTCTATAAAGTAAATAACTTTTTGGAAAAATCTCGCATATATGTAGTAGTTACGCAAAAGAAAAGAGATGACAATACAATGTAGGTAAGTCTACTTAACAAGGCTAGAGCAGATGGGTCACATTGAGTAGTTTTAAGTTTCCCGCTTATAGATTTATAGTTTTAAGTTTTCTGATGCTAAGTTTCCAATTCCTATTCCTAATTACTAACATATACTTCCATATGGAATCCTTTCTTTTTCCGTGTGGGAGAAGTCTTCCATAACATTTACTTAACACTTAATATATCACTTTGCTAGTTCTTTGCCATAGAAAAGCAGTTCATTACTACTTGTGCATCCTTGGAACCTTGGTGCCTCCACCAAAACCGCTACCTAAGAGAGGCATAGCGCCAAAATTATGCTGCACCTAGCTTTAGAACTTAACTGCAAATCAAGCATGGCCTTTAACAACATGGGAAATGTAAGAACAAAGATCAGTTAGTTAATAAATAACTCCGCTAGATCATCAACCACAGACCTGGATGGCAACAGAGATAGGAGCCCGATATATATGCTAGCTAATACATCTTTTAATCTAAGAACAAGTAGATGCATCAAATGCCGATAACTACAAGCTTTTTAAATGGCAAACGACCATTATGAGATATTAGATATATCAAAAGGACATTAATGAGTAAAACTCACATAAGATAGTCCACCATATGTCTTTAACAATTCAATCATGCCATGTTTCTTAGCTCCTTCTGCGTCGGCTAGAGGCTGTCACAAACAATTGAAAACTTAGATAAAAGCAGCAGATTAGTGAAACTGACTGAGAGTCAAGGATTGCATCGAAAAGTCAGTGTCACAACAGGCACATGGAAAAGATTCAAAATGTAGATGAACACACAAAACCAGAGAGATATGGATGACATTCGATTCTCCTAGGGAAAGCGGATAACTAGCACTCTTTTAAATCACACTCTTAATTTTACATGCATTCATAAATGAACTATCAATTGGATCATCAATGCCTCTAAACAAGGTCAGTTACAGCTAACAATGTAAAAACTATTCTTATTAACTACAAAATAGCAGGACAGAACCGGCACCCAAGGATGTGGCCTAGTGGTAAATGAAGTGGACGGAAATCTTGGAGACGAGCTCAAATTCTGCTAGGTGATTTCTTCCTATCTGCATATGCTGGTGGGAAGTACCAGGTGTCCAGTGGAATAGTCGAATCGCGGTAATACTGCAACTTATCACAAGACATCATTTAATAGCTGAAGACTCAAATCCAAATTCCTGATGATTAAATTTTCATTTCATTAACAAGATATAACTTCAGTAAGATTCATGAGAAAATAACAGCGGCTTTTTTTATACTAAGAGATCAACAGCTATTATAATTGCTCCAAAATCAGTAAGAGGTAAAACAAATTACTGTGATACTACCAATTATCAGTTTCATAATTCATATATACACACACAACTAATACAAGTGTATACGCATAACATGTACTATGCAAATTTTACCAAAAATAAGCAAATGCACAAATCTTACCGTATTTCTCCAACGATCCTGAGCGTTGACGTCGGCGCCATAATCGATCAAGCACTTCGCAACATCGATCCAGCCATGTAACGCCGCGACATGAAGCGGAGTACGATTATCGTAATCCCTAGCTTGAACAAGCGTCCGATCTTCTTCTAGAAGCTTCCGAACGGCAGCTGCACCGTTATGGTGAGCGTGCCATAGAATTTGCGATGTTTTGCTTACTCTTGACTTCTCCTTCTTCTTCTCCGTTGACGCTGCTACCGGTGCGACAGCTTCTCCGCCGCCGGCAGCGGAGCCGGAGCTTCCTTCGCTTCCGCTCATTTTGGATGGATCGCTGCGTGTGTGTGATGTGTGAAAAATCTCCTTTTTGCAACTGACTCGTGTGTGTTCCGTTTCTTTTGAATGCGTGTGTGCGTGTCAGTTTTGTGTCTGTTTCTTCTTCTGTATTTATTTGAGAAAAAGATTAAATTAAAGTCTGGTTTAAAAAAAAAAGTGAATAATGGGATATTCTTTTATTACTTTGTCAATAGAATTTGATTCTTTTCAAACACCTTTGTTAATGATTTTTTGAATCAATCAATAGATTGAGATTTGAGGGCAAATAAACTTTTCAAAAAAGACGGTATCATGCTAATTGTCGAATTTGGAATTCTCTTGTTAATTCGATGCTTCAACCACTAATGATTAATGATAAGATCTTCAAGACCGATTAAGGAAAAATGTGAAAGTAGTATTTGTTTTGGATTAAGCAATATAGTGTAGTTAGATTGATATCTATTGCAACATTTTGATTACATAACCCC